CTGTCTGTCCGTCTGCTTGCGCCACAATCAGGGTTTGGGGGCCACGAAGGGGGCTTCGGTACCTCGTTGCTTAAACGCGGCCCCGACCTCGGCATGAAGTCCCGCAGGGACAAGCTGCACATCCCGGCGCTGACCCTCGAGTGAGTGCTTGGCCCGGGAAGGGGAGAGTTGGGGAGGGGGAAGAGGGGCAGGCTGACAACCACCCTTCTTCCCTGTCTCCGTTCAAGTCACCCCGAGTCGCACCGCCGCCTCCGGGGAGTCCTCCCGGGTCATCGATTTGGCCCCGCCCTCGCGGCCTGCGCGAGACCCAGAATCCCCAGCCTTGGGCCCCTTCTCCGAGGAAACCACAGCCTTGGTCCCGTCTCCAGATTCTTCGGCCACACTCAGGGGCCGCTGCCAGGTTCACCGTCCCTGGCCTCTTTCTTTGCAGTCTGTCTCCAAGCAGCCAGAGCCCGTCCTTGCTGAGCCCCAGCAGCCCCTGCAGCCCCTGCAGCCCTTCGCTGGGCCTGCACCCCTGGAGGTAAGTGACAGCGCGTGGGGGCGGGGCACGGACATTGCCCTGGCACCCCCAGAGACTTGGAAGCCACCCAGACCCAGCCCCCTCCACAAGGTACTGTGGGTTGGTGACATAACCACTTTGGGCCTCAGTTTACCCCTCCATAAAATGGCACTGTGATCCACACTAGAACCACAATGGGAAAATTCCATATTCAGACATAGCCAGCAGGTCTCCCTTCTGACAGATGGCCAGGGCGAGGCCAGAACTTGAGCTGTTGCCCAAGGACTTCCTTGAGACAGGTGCTGGATTCCCAGCCTTCTCAGAACCCTGCTGAATTGGCCTGGCTGCTTGGGCTCTGAACCAGGTCAGCTGGCCGGAAAGCTCCTCCCTCTGAATGTACACACACAACACACACACACACACACACACCCCCAAGACTGAGAATTCACCATTAGAGCCCCATGCACTGAACTTAACCAGGCAAAGTGGTGTAGAGAAAAAGGACCAACTTGACTGAGTGCCAGCTCTGTCCCCAGTGCCTTCTGTCCCCTCTGCATCCCTGGGAGAGAAGCACCCTTCCTGACCCCCTTTTCCCCACGGAGGAAACTGAGGCTCAGAGAGGAGACACTAGTTCTTCTGGTTCAGTATGTCTAGGGGCCAAGTGTCAGGGCCAGCTTTGTGATCAGAGTCTGTTGAGGGTTTGAGCCACCCTCGGTGACTGGCAGATCTCAGGGTCTTGTCCCTGTATGGAGGGAATATCAGGGTTATAGTGGGCCCCTCACACAGCTCAGGCAGAAGTTCAGGGAAGAGACAGATATACAGGTCAGTGATGTCTAGAATTTGATGGCCCATCAGCCATTTACACCTTAGTATGAATGAGCTGCTCAGACTCTTCCCACAGGCCTTTAATGAGGAGAAGAGAGAACGATTTGAAGCCCCCACTGGCTGCTGGGCAAAAGGCAGATAACTTCATTAAGTAGGCATTTATTGTGTGCCCGGTGCTAAGGTCACAGCTGTGAACAAGAACATAGGCCCTCCCTCAGGAGGCTCTCAGTATACTTTCATGAAGTAGGCAATGGACAAGTAAACAGACAAATGAGATACATTCAGACAGGGACCTCATTAATGTAGTGCGTGAGCCAAGGCCTGGGCTGAGCTAGGAAAGAGAGGCACCAAGCAGCAGAAATTGCACATGCAAAGGTCCTGAGGCAGGACCGAGGTTTTTAAAGCCTCTGTGGCTGCCTTGGGGGAAGAAAGATCTCCTGGGGACGGGGGACAGGAATAGAGGTGGCAGAGGCAGGGAGGTGGTTAGGAAAACATCTGGGTAGTAGATGGTGGACCCTGGACCAGGCTGGGGCATCCAGTGGGAAGCAGAGACTGCTGTCATCCGCATTTAGCAGAGGAGAAAACTATGGCATAGAACCTCAGAGTATGTTGTCCAGGGGCACCCTGGGAGAAGCGTCAGTCCAGATCTGACTCTGAGTCCCTGGCCTCAACCCCAGGTGAGGATGGGATGAGGGGAGGGGCCTATTGAGAGCAGATAAGCCAGTTTTACCAGGAGGAAATGGGAGGTGAGTTTGAAGCTCTAGCTCAGTCGGCTGGCTCCCTTACATGCCACCAGGGGGCAGCAGAACCACATTGCCTTGGGCCAGGCAAGGAGATGGGTCCCTGCCTTCCCTGCTCAAAGCACCTTAGAATTAAACTGTCATTTGTCCCCTCAGCCTCTAAGGACCTGTGAGTCCAGCCCCTGTGACTCCCACCCCCACCTCCTCCCCATCTACCTCTCCAGTGCTCACCCAACTCTAGCCATGTGGCTTCTTGGACTGTTAAAATATAAGCTGGTCCAGCCATAGGGCCTTTGCACTTGCTGGCCCTTCTGCCTAGAGCTCCATTTTCTCCATTTACTCCTTTATTCATTTGTCAAGTCTCCAAGCCACCAGATAGGAAGCTTTTCCTGACCAACCTTCCCTGCCCCTGCCCCACCTTAAGGGCCCCCAAGCCCTAGTTCCATCCATTATACGTATCCGTTTCCCTCATCCCAACCACCTCATGAGTGTGATGTCCATGTTTTCTTATGTGATTATAGGGGGTTTTTTTCCACCAGAGGTTTGGGAGCCCTTTGATGGCCTGACTTGGATCTGTCCTGGTCATCCTAGATACTCAGGCAGGGCCTGGTATACAGCAGGTGCTCAGTTAATGCTTGTGGCAAAGACAAATGGGAAGCAGCTGGGCTCTCCCTGTGGTGGTAGCAGGGAAGAGGTTGAAGAGGTTATGAGTTGGGCCCAGATGGACAAGGAGGCAACAAAGAGGCTATTCTAGGCAGGAACAGCATTGTCAGAGGAGTGTTCCCTCTGGGGCCTTGGACGCCAAGGACAGGAAGAATTTGGATTTTTCTACTCATGCTACTGAAAGCTACACAAGGTACAGGGCTTGGAGGGACGGGGACAGCTCATGACAGGTAGGAAGGGCTGGGGTGGTCAGACCAAGCTGGGTTCGGGGGTGAGGGTCTGTATGTCCACTTGGGGCTTTGCTATTTACACAGTTTACACAGCTCAAGAAGATAGAGGCAAAGTCCAAGGCACAGACGGAGTTAGGATCTCAGCTCTGGGAAAGAGGTTCACCGAGGAGTAGGATCTTGCTGGAAAATGAGGAGCCATGGAGGGTGTGTGAGCAGGGGCGGGGCATGATCTGGTGGGCAGTGGGCTGGCGCCAAAGGTCAGTGGTTCAGCCAGTCTCTCATGGGAGGTCTTTGCCATGGCCACAGGCCTCTTGGATTGCCAGCTGTAGCCCTGTTCTGCAGAGGAGGAAACTAAGGCCAGATGGACATGGGAGAAGCAGCTGCTGGGGATGCCAGTGCAGTGGGCGTAATGTGGGGCCTGTAGGCGGTGCAGGCTGGGGATGAGGGGCAGCTCCTTGACTGTGTGCAGAAGTGTCTCTGGCCCACATTTGGGGGGAGCTTGTGGGCACAGCATGTCAGCATATGGTGACACGAGACCATGACTTCATCCCCATTTGGGTCCCCAGACCTATGGGACTTCAAATTCCTCCCACGCTGAACATCTGAGGACCACATCTGATCCTGAAACAGGGTCTGTCCTTTGGCCTCAGAATAAGCCCAGAATTCACCTACTTTACTCTGCAGCTGCACGCTGGTCCAGGACTCAGTATCCCCCTCTTAGACCCTGGGACAGCCCCTCACTAGCCTCCTGTCACCTCTATTCCTGCCCCAACAGCTCTTGTTTCCCATGGCAGACGTCAGGGGGTGTTTTACAAACATAGTCCAGATCACACCCTTCCCCTGCTCACACATCCTCCATGGTTCCCTATTGCTCCTACAGTAAAACTGCACTCCTCCCTCCAGCCCATAAGGCCTACATGGTCCATCTTGCTGGCATTTTCCCCTCATTCCTCCCTAAGGGCCTTTGCATGAGCTATGCTCACTGGCCCGGGGCTCTCTATCTCCATGGCTCCTCTTCCTTCTCAGTTCCTCAGCTGGCTGCAGTATCCTCCTGGCTAAAGTTGTCCTTTGCTGGTGAGCAGGGGAGGTTCTTTTCCTTCATCAGCTTCAGTGTTTGAAATTAACCTGTTTGTTTGTTTCCTATTTACTCTCTGCCTCCCCTGCCAGACTGGGGACCCCTGAGAGCAGGGATTATTTGTGGCCTGCCTCCCCAGGGTTCCATACGAGAGCAGGCACACAGTAAATGCTCAATCAATGTTTGTTGAGTGAATGAATGGCCAGACATGAGTGTTTGAGCCCCAGTCTGGGGGACCTGGAGAGCAGGCCTGGGGAGACACTCAGTAGGTATCTAGGCCACGGCAGGTGGGGGGCATCTGAGTGGGACACTGGGCTTGGAAGGAGCAGGGTGGGGAGTCTGAGAGAAACTTGAGAAGCAAAATCAGTGGCAAGATGGATGGGTGAAGTTAGCGTTACTTGTGCAGCAGCACCCCTACATGTCTCGGTTATCTCTTCTCAGGTGTGGAGTCTGGGCTCCAGGTCAATCCTGGACCAGTCAGTTCCCAAAGTGCCATGTGGCCTGTGAAGGGTCCACCCTCAGGGTGACACTGTCCCTGACTTCCCCGGGCTGTCATGAAAGGAGGAAGCACTAATTCACTGTCTACTGCATGAGACATTCCTCCTTCCATAGTGAAGATGAACGGTACCCCCAGCTCTGTACCAGGCACTTTCTGTGCCTCTGATTTTATTCCATTTTCACAAGGGGACATGGGTAGATGGGGAACAGAAGCCTGAAAGTTTGTCTAATGCTAACGTTTATCCAACGTTTACCAGGCACTCTTGGAGTCATAGCCTTACAACTTAATTGTGTAGTCATCATCCACTTCTTGGGCAGGAGTTCAGGTGAAGGAGGCTAGTGAGGGACTGTAACAGCCCCGTTTTCCTCCCATTTTACAGTTGAGAATACTGGGGCTTCAGAAGTTAAATGAAGCATCTGATTCCTGATAGTGGCCAGGCTGATGGCCTTTCCCCATCGCACAGAGCTTACCAGGTGCCCTGACTCAGTTTGTTAAAAACACCCTCTGTGCCAGTCCAGTGTTGGAAGATGCTGGGACCCCAAGGATCCAAGCCGGGGGAAGACAGAGCTGGATAGATCCAAGAGAAGTCTTCTTGGAGGAGGGGACACTGAATTTTGCCAGGCAGGAAAGGCATTCCAAGGAGTGGAGCCGGCGTGGGCGCACGGTAGCATGAGCGGGGCCAGACCGCTGGATGGGTCTTGAGTGCCGCACTCAGAAGGGGTTCGCACCGAAGGGGCACAGGGGGCGTGATCGGATTTACATTTTGAGGAAAGAGAGCCAAGTTCCAGGACCCAACATCAAAGTGCCGCCAACGCCCCGCCCCCGCCGCCCGCAATCCTGGCAACGCGCCGCCCCTCCGCCCGCGGCCTTGGCAACGTCCCGCCTCTCCGCCCGCGGCTATGGCAACGCCTCGCCCACTCGCCAGCACGCGGGTCCGCCGGCCTTGCTTCCGCGTCGCTCGCCCCTCCCCGCCAGGCCAGGCCCCGCCCCCGCTCTGCCCTGAGCCGGGTTCCCGGCCTCGATCCCAGGCGCGCGCTTCCTCCTCGACCCCCTACCCCTAGCACCACGGCGCGCACCATCTCCTCCGACCCTCACCGCGAGCCTCCCACCGTGGTGATCCCACCGTGAAGGTTCGCGCCCCGCCGCCGCTGGTTGCGCCCCCGCGCCTCTCGGGCCTCTGGCGGCGGCGGCGGCACAAAGAGAAGCAGCATGTCCGACCCCAGCTACTGGACGGCGGTGGCAGCTCCTGGCCACCGGAGCCGCCTGGCCAAGGGCGCGCTGCTGCAGCGCTCCAAGAGGTAGGGGGCTCCGCGCGGGCAAAGGCGCGGCGGCCGATCAAACAAGACACGAGTTGCCAGAAGTGCGCCTCGGCAGCGTGGCGAGAGCCACTGTGCGCGGCGGTAGGAGGAAGTGGGAGGATGCTTTGGTATCCAGGTATCCTCTGGGGTCCCAGGCAGCTTCCTTCCACTCTTCGTTACACCCGGACTGGGTGTCTGTCCGCCGGGGTCGCAGCTCGGATGGTGACAGAGGCAGCAGGGAGTTGGGACTGAACCAGGATTCGAACGTGGGTCTGTCCTCTGGACAGACCTGGGGAGGAGCTTCTTGGAAAAACTGAGGCTGTTCAGCCCGTGGGGCTCAGTCAGCGGAAACGCTGGTTCAGAAACAAATATTTGCTGCTGGAGGCTGGTGTGTATGTCGGGTGTCAGGGGGAAAAATCATGGTGTTCCACCCAGAGCAAAGTGGAATCTCAGTTTCGCCTTCTGAAAAGCAGAGACACTAAAAGAGGACTGTGGGCTCTACTAGACCTGAGTTCAAATTCCAACTCAGCCACTGCCAGGCTGTGTGATCTCAGACAGTTCCTTAACTTCTCTGTGCTTGGTTGTCTCATCGGTGCTTGGTTGTGGGGAGTGGAACACCAGAGGGGAGCACAGGCAAAGACTGGGTGGTGGGACCAGCTGCCGAAGGACCTTGAATGCCTAGACTCTTCTCCCAGATCCTGGGGAGCCACAGAAGGCTCATGGACACCTCGGGGGTCAGGTGCAGCAAACTGGCCTCAGGCCCCTCTTTTCTGACATAATTATCACTCTGTTGTACTACGCAGTTGTATTGAAAAACTAAACAGCTTCTCAGAGTCCTGGGCCTTCTCGAGGGAGAGCTGAGCAAATAGTTGTTGCTCAGTAGATGTTCAGGAAGTGAACAGTTGATGCCCTGTTCCCCTTTGAGACCTCAAACTTGGCTGTTTTCAAGAAGGCCCTGCCTGAGAACAAGAGAGAGATGGCCAAGTGTTTTTCCTAAATGCCTTTGGAAGTGGAAAGTGATGCAGCAGGGTGCAGCATGGGGGTGAGGAACCAGGTGAGGGTCTGGAAGAGGATATGGGCTGTTGGGCGTGTGTTGTCTGTGTGTGTTGGGGGTGTTGACAGGAAGTTTTGCAGGAATCTGTGGGTTTCGCTTTTGCTTCTGCACCTCAGACTAGAGGGCCATCTCTGTGGCTGTTGACATCTGTGGCCTCAGTTTCCCAGGCTAGGAAATGGGTGCAGCTGGTCTCCTCCTCTTCCGGGCTCATTGGTATTGGCAAATGTAGATGATTTAATTTGCCAGAGAGGCATTGCCTGCTCTTCCATAGGGCACAAGGCCCTGTGAGCATGGTCGGGAGAAAGATGACAGCATATATACCCGCCATAATTTGCCCAGGCCCAAGCCTGAGCACTGCGTATGGATTTTGTCAAATCTTCCGAGTGTCTTGTAGTGTACAGATGGGAAAACCGAGGCTCAGAGAGGGCAGCTGCACATGGAGCCGTGGAAAGGCTGAACCCCCTCCTCCTGCACGTCTTGTCTCCTGAGTTGGTTACTGAACCGTTCTCCCCTTGGCCTGCGTTGTGCCTTCTGCCTGGGACACCAGTCCTGGCCCTGTGAGGCCTCGAGGGTTCATCTTTCCGCCTCTGCGCAGTTCTCTCCCGCCAAGGCTGGGCTGCGTTGGTGGCTCGGGGTGTGTGGGCTGATGCACTTGTCTAACAAGCAGAGCTGTTGCCGGGCGACTGCTGGAGGATGCGGGGGGCGGGGGACTGTGTCGCTCCCAACTTCCCTCTGCCAGTGCAGGGACTGGGGCCGGGGCACAGGTGGGAGAGCCTGGGCAAGGTGGGGGGTGGGGAGAACTGGCTGGGGAAGAGCCTGGGCCAAGGGTCTGGCAGCCAGGAGGGAGCTGGGTTGGAGGAGGGGAAATGTGTGGGCAGAAGTTTGGCAGAACAAGAACAGGACCCAGCTGTGGAAGATGCTGACTTCGGGGTTTCTAAGGGTCAGATTGACATTTTAAGGGGATCTCAAGGAGGGATTTTGCCAAGAGATTGGAGCAGTGGCCCTGGGAAAAGGTGCAAAGAATGGAGTGGAGGGGGAGTCTGCCTCAAGGGCTCCGGGGTTCTCTCTACCCTCCACCTTATTTGCCAGTGCAGTGGCCACGATGTGAACAAGGTGGTGAGGTTGGGATTGCGAATACAGAAGCCTGAAAAATTGGGCCAGAGGTTCCTGGGCTGAGCTCAGGGCTTTGGATGGGGTCTCCCTGGGGAGCAGGGAGGGAGTCGTCATGCCCAGCTTCCTGTCCTGCCCCAATGCTGGTGCACATGTGCTCCCAGTTGGGCACATGGTCCTCTGAGCCAGGAGGCCTGGGCCTGACCTAGTCCCCACCTTCCCCAACAGCTGCCGCAGTGGGAACCGCAAGAGCCTGGTGGTAGGAACACCCTCACCGACCCTTTCCCGGCCACTGTCGCCACTGTCAGTCCCAACGGGTGAGCATGGGGGCAAGCGGGCAGTCGAGGTGTCCTGTCTCCACCCCCACTGACTCAGTTTCCCCCACCTCCTTCTCAGCAGGCAGCAGCCCCCTGGATAGTCCTCGGAACTTCTCAGCTGTATCTGCTGTCAACTTCCCTTTCGCCCGGAGGTGAGTGGTCCCTGCCTTTGGGGATGGTGTTGGCATGATGGGCAAGGGGACAGGTGAAGACATGCGCTTGGTGGCTGGACCTGCCTCCTCATTAGCCTTTTCCCCTCCCCTGGCCTCTGCCCTGTGTCGGTCTCTCCCTCTGACTCCCACCCCTGGCACACGCACGGCCTCCTGCAGCCACATCCCGCGTGCAGACAGGTAATTTCTGTGAGCCCTCAGGGAGGAGGAGGGGGTGGCATGGCCCAGTCCAAGAATCATTCATTCACTAAAAGTTATTGATTCACTTAACCAGAGCTGATGGAGGACCTGTTGTGTGCCAGGCCTTTAAATGTCACTTATTCACTCAACAATGTTTATTTGGTGCCTGCTGGGTGGCATGCCCTATGCTGGGGGCTAAGGAATTGGAGGATGGACTTTCGCCCTCAGGGAATCCTCAGTCTGGCAGGGGTGGCTAGTGTGTACCCTAGCTGCTGCGACTCAGAGAAGAGCTTTGTTAGGGAACATCCTGGCAGTTGGCATTAGGGAGGACTTCCTGGAGGAGGCATCTGAAGAACAAGAAGAAAACGCTTAGTTGCTTACCCTGTATCCCTGTTCTCAGCCTTTTCAGAAGGTCCTTCCTCCAACTGGCCACAATCTGCCAGCCGTAGTGTCTGCCCTTGGTCCCCACAGACCCCAGGGGCTGTGCCTTCCTTCTAACTTATTCTTCTCTCCAGGGCTGATGGCAGAAGATGGTCCCTTGCATCCCTCCCGTCTTCTGGCTATGGAACCAACACGCCCAGCTCCACTGTCTCGGTACCCATAGTCCTACCTTGGCGGGCAGACAGGGGAGTGCCAGGTTGGGGGTGGGGGAAACATGTCTCAGGATTTTTTAAGGTGTTGAATAGTTGTTCAGTCAGCAAACATCCTGGCTGCCCCCCTGTGCCCCATTCTGGGCAGTGTAGGGGCCCCTGAAAGGACCCAGCCTTGGCCCAAGGAGCTCCCAGTCTGGGGTACACAGATATCCTCATCTTTGTATGGTCAGGGAGGGCCTGGCCAGAGGAGGTCGTAGGGCTGCCAAGAAATCAGGTAGCGAGGGCTTCCTGGAGGAGGGGGCATCAAAGCTGGAGTTTTGAGGGATGCATAGGTACCAGGCAGGAGAGTTACCATGTGATGACCAGCAGACAGGCTGGGCCTTGAGGGATAGTGCCAGGGTCCTGGCTGTGGTGCTGAGCATGAACCCATGGCCCTGATACCCCCTTCTGCCAGTCGAGCTCATCCTCCCGGGAGCGCCTCCACCAGCTTCCTTTCCAACCGACACCGGACGAACTCTGCTTCCTGTCCAAGCATTTCCGCAGCTCAGACAGTGTGGCTGATGAGGAGGGTGGCCACCGCTCACCGCGCCTTCGCCCCCGCTCCCGCAGCCTCAGGTGGGCCTCGACCTCTGACCCCAGCCCCAGCCCCTCCCTGGGCTGGCTCCTCCTCCACCCCTGGTCCTGACCCTGCCCGAGCCTGGCCCCTGGCCCGTGGCCCTTAGTCCTGGCTCAGCTGCCCTGTCCTGAGCTGTGTTTTGGGTCCCCTGTCATGAGCCACTTGTTCCCCCTCTTCAGCCCTGGACGCACAACAGGGACCTTCGACAATGAGATCGTCATGATGAATCATGTGTACCGGGAGAGATTCCCCAAGGTGGGCAGCGCCTGGTGGCTGGACCAGCTCCAAATTCCCTCCGCATTGCTGTTCCCTCCATGGCACGCTCTGTCTTCCTGGCTGTATGCCCCCCAATCTGTCCATTTCTGGTTTCTCCTTTTGTCTCATCTCTCTCTCTGTCTCAACCCTCCCCCTCCAACCCCTTTGTGTACATATTTCATTCCCTCCAATCCTCGGACCCCATCATCACATTTCCTCCCTCTCCCCGACAGTCTCTCTTGCCCCAGTCTGTGTATGTCACTCCCTAGCCCTGCCCAGTGACCAGGTCACCCCCTCTCCCCACTTCCCAGGCCACAGCACAGATGGAGGGCCGTCTACAGGAGTTCTTGGCCACCTTCTCGCCCGGCTCCCGGCTGGCACTGGCCGACGGCGTCCTGGGCTTCATACACCACCAAATCATCGAGCTGGCCCGTGACTGCCTAGCCAAGTCTGGAGAGGCGCTTGTCACCTCCCGCTACTTCCTGGAGATGCAGGAGAAGCTGGAGAGGCTGCTGCAGGATGTGTGTGGTGGGGGTGCTGGGTTAGGGGTCCTCAGGCAGGGCAGGGTGGGACCAAGGTCCTGTGGGTGACGCAACCACCCATCTGCCCCCAGGCCCACGAGCGCTCAGACAGTGAGGAAGTTGGCTTCATTGTCCAGCTCGTCAGGAAGCTGCTGATCATCATCTCGCGGCCAGCGAGGCTCCTCGAGTGCCTGGTGAGTCTCTTGGCACACAGCCGGGTGTAGGGTCCTGGCAGGGCTGAGACCAGGCTCCCAGCGTCCTGCCGAGATACAAGAGACCCCATCACGTAGGGTTTTAAGAAGAATACAGGATGCCTGCAGGCAGAGGGGGCTTCTCAGAGAAGGCGCCAGGAGCTAAGATCTTGGGGACAAGTTGGAGCTGCCAGTGAGGGTGCTCTAGACAGAGGGCGTGGCCTGTGCAGAGGCCTGTGGGTAGGACCTGGCCTCGGCTGACCAGTCCCTCTGCACCCCCAGGAGTTTGACCCTGAGGAGTTTTACCACCTGCTGGAGGCTGCTGAGGGCCAGGCCCGTGAGGGCCAGGGCATCAAGACGGACCTGCCACAGTACATCATTGAGCAGCTGGGCCTGACGAAGGACCCTCTCCAGGGTGAGCTGGGGTGGGACTGGGACAGAAAGAGGAAACTACGGCAAGTCTAGGGTGGAGCTGGGAGTCCGACCCACACCCATCTGACTCCAGAGCCACCACACCATCCGTCCTGTCTGCAGCCCTGTCCTCGGCCACCTGCAGGGTACATTGTGGGGACAGTACCCAGGATTTCGGGATAAGGCAGCCACAAGTTGGACCCCTTAACCTGCCAGGATCTTGGAGCCTCAGTGTCCTCAAATGCTAAGTCAAGATGGGCCAGGAGGCCAGGGGGCTACCGTTAGTAATGGATTCACATTGTCCTGTGAATTCACCAAGCACTTTGCCAGTTTCACCTGACTGTGGCCCAGGAAGTGGGACAGAGTCAGACAGGGCAACCTGTGAGCATGACCAGGGCAGTCAAGGAGTCCCCCAAACAGCCAGGACAAGGGAGCATCTGAGACGTGGTGCCAGGGGAGCATTGAACTTGGACCTGGCCTGGTCTGGGAGTAGGCAGGGAAGCTTTGGGAAGAGATGATGTTCACGTTGGGGCCTGGAGGACAGAGCAGTGACCAGGTGAAGATCTGGGGAAGAGAGAAGGTGAATCAGACAGGGGGAATGGTGAAGGCAAAGGTCCTCGGGTAGGACTGTGCCTGGCATGTTGCAAGAGCAGAGAGGAAGGAGGGGAGCTGGGGGAAGGTGGCAGGGTCAAGAGGGGCAAGCTACAGTGGCTGGTGTCCGCTGAGCATTGTTGCTGCATCAAGCCAGGGTCTGTTCTGCCTTTGTCCCCTTTAAAGCTGGAAAGACCAAGGCTCCAGGCAGGTGAGGTTGAGCTGAGGTTCAGACCCAGATGTGCCTGAGGCCAGATCGCCCATAGACTGGCTGTATGGCCACAGCCGTCCTCCTGTCTGTCTGATAAAGATGACGCAGGTGGCACTGTGGATGGGCCCAGGGAGGTCAGAGGAAGCAGGAAGTGGCTAGGCAGGCAGGTGGCAGCTGGGACTGTGGGGGCAGATCATATACCCAGCACTGCACGGAGCGGGTTGCCATGGAGAGTGGGAGAGTCTACATTTGAACCCAGCCTCCCTCACCCTGAGGCTCCACTGCCCTGCCCTGCCCCCCGCCTTGCTCTGTTGCTCTGTGATCATTAATCACTGTCTTCATTGCCACCATCACCGCTGACATTCACCCACCACTCAAGGCTGCCCCTGTGCTAAGCCCTGGGGCTGGAAAGTAAGGTGGATCCTCCCAGCCTTGTCCTGAGCTTAGGAGGATGTTAAGAGTCATTACCCAGAGGGCCCACATCACAGGCCCAAGGCTCAGAGCCAGGGTTCAAAAAAAGCTGATCAGGTGGAGCCTGGGCTTCCCACTGGCTCTTCTAGAAGTTTCCTCAGTCATTGCTCAGTTCAGCTTCCTGGGTTTGACCGAGATCTACATGCAATAGGGGCTCAGTGACAGTATCTTGGGAGCTGGTCAGGGGAGGCACCACTTCTCCAGCCCAGGATAAGTCCCGTAAGAAACCCTCTGGGTGATGGAGAGGCAGGACTCAGAAACCCCATTCGAGGATCCTCCCTCATCTTACAGAGATGGTGCCTCTGAGTCACCTCGATGACAGTGGAGGACAGCCTCCAGCACCAGAGTCCCCAGAGGTAAGTCACAGAGCTTTGGCGACCCCACTTGTCTTACTCTTTTGACCAGCTGGCCACGGAGGTGCTGGGTTTGCTGTTTGCTGAAGTTTTGCATGTAGTAGGTGCTTAATAAATGCCTGTGACTTTGTGGGGAAGGTGGGGGCAAGTGAGATTGCCCTGCCATGCAGGTTGGACAGGGCAGAGTTGGAGGGGGCTAAGGAAAGGGGAGTTTTGAAGGATGTGTAGGAGTGTTCTAGATGGTGGGCATGTATGTCTTGAGCAAGAGCTCAGAAACTCCAAAGCTGAGTTTGTGAAGTTTGCACAGGGGAGGAAGTAACATCAGGTGCCAGGACCAGTGGTTGGGACTTGGGGCGGGAGGAACCGAGCCTTCTCTGTGGTGGGGCAAGATCCTAATTCCCTCTTGCCCCGCAGAGTCGTGCCCTGGTCGGCCCTTCACGGAGGAAGCCATGTGAGAGCGACTTCGAGACTATCAAGCTCATTAGCAATGGGGCCTATGGGTGAGTCCTTGGGTGCCCTATAGACCCATTTCTCAGATGCGCATGGGGATGGCTGAAGCCCACTAGGCCCCTGAGTGTGCAGACAGGGAAACTGAGGCCCACAGAGGGAAGTGGAGAGGCAACACAGCCAAGGTGTGGCCTTGGAAGGGCTTGGCCTTGATCTCGGTCCTTCCTTGCCCCAGGTCTAGAGGATTCTAGGAATTTGGGGGCTGATCAAGGAAAAAGATGGCCAAGTAATGACAGTAACATGCAGCGAGCAGGATTTAAGTGCCACTTGGACAGGTTTGTGGCAGGGGGAGTCCCTCACAGCTTAAGACCATCCCAAGGGGGCTCAGAGGTGGCTTACGTGTGTCCAGGTGGCATAGCTTAGCAGCACGGTGGGGAGTCTCTGGGTCAGAGAGTGCTACAGGGCAGGAGCAGCTTGGGGTCTTTATAGTCAGGGAGCGCAAAGCCAGCAGGCTCTAAATGGCTAAAAATCTGCTTATTTGAGCTATATTTAAAGCAATTTGAGTTTGTGCCAGTGGGCTTTTGAGCTTACGGTCTCAGTCGGCTGTAAAGAAATTAACAACCTACGGGCCATCTGTGGCTCTTTATATGACACCACGGAAGGTGGCTTAAACCCATGAGGTGGGTGCTTTGGGAGAAAGGCCAGGTAAGGAGAATGGGTGTTCTGTGTGGAAGGCACAGCAGGTGGGATTCTGGGCCCAGGTCAGTCCAGTGCCTACCAGGGCCTAGATCTCCGGCCTCAGGGAGCCTGGTCCTCCCCACCCCGCTACAGTGCTGTCTACCTGGTGCGGCACCGGGACACAAGGCAGCGCTTTGCCATTAAGAAGATCAACAAGCAGAACCTGATCCTGCGCAACCAGATCCAGCAGGTCTTCGTGGAGCGTGACATCCTCACCTTTGCCGAGAATCCTTTTGTGGTCAGCATGTTCTGCTCGTTCGAGACCCGGCGCCACCTGTGCATGGTCATGGAGTATGTGGAAGGTGCGGTTACTGGGGCTTGTATGCCTCCAGCAATGGGGAGCTCACCCCTTATCCGGGAGACTGTCCCTCCTGTGACCAAGCTAAGGTCTTACTCTGTCCTCCATGGGGTCCCAGCCTGCCTTGGAGACCCTCTGTCTGTGGCGGGGAGTTGGGTCCGGGGGGTGCCAAAGAGGAGTGTGAGGGCAGGACCCTAGGGAATAGGGGTGGGATGGACAGCCTAGGCAGGGGAGACTGGCAGGCAGAGGCCTGGAGGCTAGAGTAAGAGCAGAGAAGGGAGGGCGGCATGGGTGGGAGGCCAGGGTAAGGAATTGTGGGATCAGGATTCCAGTTCAGTTCAGGAAAGAACAGGGCCTTCAGGTAAGGGCAGGGTCGTGCATTTACCAAGGTGCTGCCAGGCAAAGAGAGGGAGTGTGCACTTAGGAGGCACCTACTGTGTAAGGGACTGTGCACTTACAGAGCTGTTGCCCAGCCAGGGGAAAGTCAGAAGGCAGGGTCTGCCTGCCCTCCTCCCCGTCCCAGTTCCCCATCTCGATTGAGGACAGATTGGGGACGCTTTGCAAGAGATGGGGAAGTCATGTAGGCACAATTCTGGGCACGGCTGTAGAGCCGAGGGCCTCTGCCAGCATGTTTGCCCCTCTGCAGGCGGCGACTGTGCCACACTCCTCAAGAACATGGGCCCGCTGCCTGTGGATATGGCCCGCATGTACTTCGCTGAGACAGTGCTGGCGCTCGAGTACCTGCACAACTATGGCATTGTGCACCGGGACCTCAAGCCTGACAAGTGAGCGGTCCTGGGGCTTCAAGGGGTGGGGCCTCTGAGCGGGCCTGGGGCTACTCATGAGCCCTGCCATCTGGATCCTGCTGGCATCCTGGAACCCCTGTGGTAGGAAGCCAGGGATCCTGGCAACATTGAGCAGGTATCCTCCTGGTGTGTACAGAGGAGAGCAAGTACTATTAATAGGCACCTGCTGTGTGCAGGGGAAGGACAGTGCACTTAGGGAGATTCTGCCAGGCAAAGAGAGGGTACACAAACTAAGCAGGGAAGGGACCATGCACTCACAGAGCTACTGCCGCACCAGGGGAGTGAACGTGCACTTATGAGGCACCAGCTGTATACAAAGAGCAGTGACATGCACTTGGTAAGATCTTATGTGTGAAGAAAGGAACTGTGCATGTCTTGAGCACCTGCTGTGTATGAGTGCAGGGAGGAAAGGAAGAGAACGTGTTTTATTTGATTTTTTTCTTTTTTTTCCCTTAACAGAGGCACTGGGGATTGAACCCAGGACCTCATGCATGCCAAGCTTGCGCTCTGCCACTGAGCTATACCCCCACCCCCAAAAACATGTTTATTGAGCATCTTGGGGGTATTTATTTTGTTCTAGCATCTGGTAAGCACGTACTGAGTGCCAGGTCCTCTGTGGGTGACTGGGAAACACAAGTGTGAGTGTGAATAATCCCTCATGCTTTGTAATTTTCAAAGCATTCTTCCCTGCATTAATTGAGCACCTAGTGTCTACAGAGGAAAGGGCTGCTCTTATATCAAGTACCCTCTGGGTAGCAGGCAAGAAGTTTTGAGTTTCTCAGGTAACTGCTGTGCGGGGATGTAGAAGTAGCCTTAAGAAGCCTGCATGTTTTCAGGCTTCAGGTTTCATCTTGAGTTTGCGAGTGGCTGAGAAAACAAAGTGAACGTATTTGGCACTTGTTATATACGTGAGTCTGTACTAGCCATTTTAAGGAACCCAAACAGTGGTATAATTAACTCCTCACACTCCAATGACCCTTTTGGGTTTATAAAGCACATTTTTTAGCTGGCATGTATTTATTGGGCACCAGCTGTATAAAGGTGATCACAACAGCAGTTGTTAGGCAATGACTGTGGGTCAGGCCCTGAACACTTTAACTGCCTTTTTAGAATTTTTTATTTTGAGGTCAGCATGCATTGAGCACCTACTGTGTGCCAGGGACAGGGGAAGTACTTCCAAAGGAAGTACTTGCTATGTGGGGATGTGAACATAAGGCTTAAGAGCCCTGCATGTTTTCAGGGAGTATTGTAGTTTGCGAGTGGCTGAGTAAACAAAGCAAATGCATAGTTGGCACCTACTGTATATCTGGGCCTCTGTGCTCGACACTGTAAGGCTGCTCTGTGCCCATCAGGCCGCTGTGGGATCGATCATCCTAGAGTAGGGTCTTCCCAAGTGTCTCAGGTCTGATCCCAAGGCAGGACCTGCCCCTCCCACGCTCATCAGCAAAACGGGGTGGGAAGGTGCCTGGCACCAGGGGCTTCAGGGAGGGACAAATGCACACAGTAGGTGCTTGGAAAAAAGATTTTTTCCTTTTCACGTCGGAAAATTTCAGATACAACCCAAGTCAGGACGAGGCATATTAGTTTGCTAAGGCTGCCCTAATAAAGCCCCATGGACCGGGAGGCTGAAACAGCAGAAATTTATTCTCACAGCTCTGGAGGTGACAGGGAAGGATCTGTCCAGGCCTCTCTCCTGGCTTCTGGTAGTTCTTTGGCTGTGGCCAGGATAACTCTCATCTTTTTCTTTTCTTGCAGTTTTTTAACTAAAGTGTAGTTGATTTACAGCATTAGTTTCAGGTAGCTGTCATCTTTACATCTCATTCCCCCGTGTGCATGTCTGTGTCCAAATTTCCCCTTTTTCACAAGGACACTGGTCACATTGGATTAGGGACCACTGTCCTCCAGTATGACCATATCTTAACTATTCACACCTTCAATGACCCTATCTCCAAATAAGGTCATGTTTGTAATTCCTGGGGGTTAGGACCTATGAATTTGGGGGTACATAATTCAGACCATAACAGAAGAAGTGTACCATGCCCCACCTCCATTCCCCACATCCTTATTCAGATCCCACAGGCCAGTCCTATTTCCTCCTCACCCTCTCCGTCCTCCACACTGGATGATTTGAAGCAAATCCCAGGCATCATGTCATTTTCTTTGTGAGAAGGAAACAGTTTTAAATACCAAATATAGTCAGCATTCAAGAAATCAACATTTTTTTTGACAGGGACTTGCCCCTTAGAGTTCAAGAAACACTGGTTGTCTTGGCAGATGGTGGCTCCAGGCCTGCTGCACAGCCTTGGTTTGAAGGTGTCGGTTGGCTCACCTGGTAGCTATACCAAAATGCTTTTTCCACTGGTGTACGCAATAGTTGCTCAAGAAACATCCCTATTTGAGATACATGGTAGGTGCCCCCCCAAAATGGTTCATCAGACAGCCTGGATACACACAGTGAATTCTCCAGAAATTTACTTTTTAAATGGCAGATGTACCCAGGAGGTGCCTGAAAATGTGACTTTATAAAGATGGGGCATATCATTTTATCACTGAAAACTTTTACATACTTAAGTTTGCAGGAAAACTTGAACAACAGCATATGTGGTAGGTGTGCAGGTTTTTAAAACTCGTGAGGTGTGCAGACATTTCTGTACACAGCAGGTGCTGAAGATATGTTCATTTTTCAATGGGGGAGATGAATAGTTGTTTGCAAAGTATTTAGTTTGTTAAAATAATGGACACAGAAGGCAGGGTATAGCTCAAGCAGTAGAGCGCATGCTTAGCATGCATGAGGTCCTGGGTTCAATCCCCAGTACCTCCTCTAAGAATAAATAAACAAATAAACCTAATTACCTGCCCCCACCAAAAAAAATTAAAAAATAAAATAAAATAAAATGATGGACACGTGTACAAAAGTATGCTATAGATCCCCTCAGGAGGTGTTCAGGAGATGTTTTAATGCCCAGTGGGCATTAGATGCTGTGATTCTCAGGAAATTTATTTTATTTTATTTTATTTTAAAAAAATTTTGGGAGACTGATTAGATTTGTTTGTTTGTTTGTTTGTTTTAATGGAGGTCCTGGGGGTTGAACCCAGGACCTCATGCTTGCTGAGCATGAACTCTACTGCTAAGCTATGCCCTCCCCCCAGGAAATTTCTTTTTGCACAGTGGCATACACAGTTGGTGCTCAACAGCCACACCAGACGTACCCAGTAGTCACACTAAGATGTTTGCCAAATTTGTAATAACTGCCCAAGACCCGTTGGTTCTTTCAGCAATGTGATCGTGCACAGGAAGTGCTTTTCAATCCAAGGAGGGGTCAGGCCACCTCAAGTGGAACCAAGTTCTGGGAGTAGGGGCAGGGGGCGGCAGGAGCAGCCAGGCACCTCGGGTCCCCCAGCCCTGAACCCACCACCTGCCTACCCACAGCCTGCTCATCACCTCGCTCGGCCACATCAAGCTGACTGACTTTGGCCTGTCCAAGATCGGGCTCATGAGCATGGCCACCAACCTCTACGAGGGCCACATCGAGAAGGACACTCGGGAGTTTGTGGACAAGCAGGTGTGTGGACAGGCAGGGTACAGGGCTGCCTCCCTCTGCCTGGGGCCTGACCCTGGGACAGGGGGGAACTTTGCAGCAAAAAGGAGAAAGTGAACTCCCCATCATTCTACCCACCCTTTCTTCCCTGGCTGGGAGCCATCCTCAGTTTCCCTGTCCCACCTGGCCTAGGTATGTGGGACGCCTGAATACATCGCCCCTGAGGTGATCTTCCGCCAGGGCTACGGGAAGCCAGTGGACTGGTGGGCCATGGGCGTCGTCCTCTATGAATTCCTGGTGGGCTGTGTGCCATTCTTCGGAGATACCCCTGAGGAACTCTTTGGCCAGGTGGTCAGTGGTGCGTTCCCCCTGCCCCCCATGGTGCCAGGTTTAAGTCTCAGTCCCCCTGGGGCTCTGGACAGCCATTCCCCATTCCCCTACCCTTACTGGGGAGAGGAGCAGCCCCTTGTGTGGATTGGGTGCCTATGGCATGCCCAGCCCCAGCTAGGCCCTGGAGATAACAGCCAAGAGCAAGACAGACAGTAAGGGAGATAAACAAGCAAATTATGGAGCAGACAGAGGCAAAAAGAATGCCAAGGAGGAAAAGCAGCAGGAAGAAGGAGGGGGTGGGGTGGCAGGTGGAGAGGGGATGATGCTATATTCAGTAGAGTCACAGAGGCCTATTGGAGCAAAGGGAAGCCACAGAGATGGAAGGTGCTCTGGGCAGAGGGCACAGCCAGAACAAAGACTATGAAGGACCAAGCCTGATATGTTGGAGGAGCAGAGTTGGCTGATGGCTTGGAGCACAGTGAGTGAGGGGAGGTGCTCAGAAGGGCTATTCCTGCTCCCTCACTCCCTCACTCCTCCCCTCAACTTAGATGAAATCATGTGGCCTGAGGGGGACGAAGCCCTTCCAGCTGACGCCCAGGACCTTATCACCAGGCTGCTCCGACAGAGCCCACTGGACCGTCTAGGCACTGGTATGTAGGTGTGGGTGGGCCCAGGTGGGTGGGATGGGGGCTGGGGTAAACAAGAGCTTTATTTGAGAGGCTGCATAGAGGAGGGGTCTTGGAACTGAGATTTTGAAGGATGCATAGGAGCTCGCCAGGAACTAGCACAAGACTTGGAAGGAATAGCAGGTAGCTGGGTGTAGTACAGACAAGGGGCACTGAGGCTGTGCATGTGAGCTTGCCAGGTCACCATGTTCTGAGGTCTCCAAAGGCCCAGCCCAGTGGATCCCACTGTCTAAGTTTCCCAGCCACCTCAGTAGTGATTAAGGGACTATTTGATACTCATGCAGCCACCCAATTACGTGGCCACTATAGATCATGTTCAAGATCAAGCTTGGCCACTGGAGAGGACTGTGAGGGCTGAGGTTGGGCAACAGGATACCTTCATGCAGTCACCTCTGCTCCATGGGGTAGAAACGTGTGGAAAAGGCCCCGGAAAGGAAGCCCTCCTAAGGCTCGGGTTTCTCCAGGTGGTGGGATCCCAGAATCTAGCAGAGGGAAGAGCAGGGCCTGGGTTCTAGCCCTAGCTTGGTCCCTCCCTGGGCTCTTAAACGATGGCTGGTTTCCCCTCCCATCTTTCAGTCCTGCGTTGGCCAAGGTCGGGTTCCTAATTGGCCCAGGAGGGAGCGGGGGGTGGGGACTGGTAGGACTCAGCCCGGCATGTCTGCAGGTGGCACCCACGAAGTGAAGCAGCACCCCTTCTTCCGGACACTGGACTGGGCAGGGCTTCTGCGACACAAGGCTGAGTTCGTGCCACAGCTTGAGGCTGAGGATGACACCAGTTACTTTGACAGTAAGCCGGGGTCCAAGAGGTGGGCTCTGCTGTCCCATAATCCCCCAGGCAGCGAGGGGGCATCTGCCAGGGTCTCCACCCAAGCTTGGCGCCTCTCCCTGGGCCTGGAGCTTCCGACTTCCTGAGCTTTCCAAGAAGCTGGAGCATGTCTGCTGGCTGCCCCCTGGCTAGGATCTCCTGTGCATCTGGGCTTAGGAGGCTGCAGCACCCTCTCGGGTTGCAGGAGGGGAAACCAAGGCACTGAGTATGGCAGACCCTTGCTTTGGGTCAGGAGGCTGAACCAGGCATGGAGCCTTGCCTGTTATATAGGAGGGTGGGGTCCCTTGCTCAGCTTTGGTGGAGGGGGTGAGCACTTCAGGTGGGCTCGGACAGATCTCTATCTCCCTGGGGCTCTGGCTGAACACAGAGTAAACGCCCTCAGCTTCCAGGGCCTCCTCCAGAACTTGATGAGTGATCTGTGGCATGACAGAGGTCATCTCTGAGCATCTGTTTCCTTTTCTGTAAAATGGGGAACATCCTTTATGTTTGAGATGCACAATTTTACCTGATTCTGGGTGACCCATCTCAAGGGTAAGGAAACTGAGGCTCAGACCCAAGAATTCCCATCCACAGCCCCACAGCTTTTAGGGACACAACTGGGATTTGTTCCCAGATACTAACTCTGCCACCCAAGCCTCCTCTGGTCCTTAAACATACCAGGCATGGTCCCACCTCAATGCCTTTGCCCTGACGGCACCTCCCTACCTGGGATGCTCTCCCAACCTCACCCGACACAGCCCTTGTGGCCACCTCCGGGCATCAGGTGGGCTGCACAAGCCTTTCCCTCCCGCAGCACGCTCGGAACGTTACCACCACCTGGGCTCAGAGGATGATGAGACCAATGATGAGGAGTCATCCACGGAGATCCCCCAGTTCTCGTCCTGTTCCCATCGGTTCAGCAAGGTGGGCCTGGGGCCCTGGGTGTAGCCAGTGCCCAGGAAGCACGGCAAGATGTTTGTTTTGTTTTGTTTTTACTTTTTTTATTGTACTAAAATACGCATAGCATAAAGTATACTATTTTAGCCATTTTAAACTGTACAATTCAGCGACATTTAGCACATTGACAGTGTTGGGCAACCATCACCTCTATCTACTTCCGGAACACTTCCATCACCCCAAAGGGAAACCATGTACGCATCTGGAGTCACTCCTCATTTTTTCCTCCCCCACCCCTGGCAACCTGCTTTCTGTCTGTCTGCATTTACCTGTTGTGGACATTTCACATACGTAAGCTCATACACTATGTGTGCTTTGGTGTCTGGCTCCTTAAGTTTGATCCCTGTGGTTGAATGTATGAGGCTTCATTCCTCGTTATGACTGACTAATAGCCCATTGTATAGTAAACCACATTTTGTTTATCCACTCATCAGCTGATGGACACGGGGGTTGCTTCCACGTGGGGGCAATCATGAATAGACCTACTATGCTGCGTGTTATCTTCTAGCCTCATTAGCGTAACTTAAGTTCCTTCCCTTGGTGTATAATTTGGTCAAAAAACCTGTACTGTTTGTGGGCCTGGGCCCCAGGCAGGAAATGCCATTTGTGACCCACTTGGTAGCCAGGCACCTCTGAGCCCCAGTGTCTTCACCTGTACAGTGGGCTAAAGACTGTATGTCTTTTTCATTTCTTTTTTTAATTAATTTTTTTGTGGGGAATTAGGTTCATTTTTATTTGTTTGTTTGTTTATTTAATGGAGGTACTGGGGATTGAACCCAGGACCTCCTGCGTGCTAAGCACACACTCTTACCACTGAGCTATACCCTCCCCTCTTAAAGGCTCTCTGTCTTTAGAGATGTGGTGAGTAAGGATTTAAGGAAGTGACTCAGGGAAGTGTTGGATATACAGGAAGCACTCAACTAAGCTGTCCCCCGTGGGTGCGGTTGTTGTTACTGTTCTTTTTCATTGCTTCCCAGGTCTACAGCAGCTCTGAGTTCCTGGCCGCCCAGCCCACTCCAACCTTCGCCGAACGGAGCTTCAGTGAGGACCGGGAGGAAGGGTGGGAGCGCAGCAGCGAGGGGGAGTATGGGCGCCGGCTGAGCACCGAGGTCCGGTAGGTGGGCTGGGGAGTATAAGCAGATCCAGTTTCCAAACTGCTAGGAGGTGGAGCCACAGAAAAAAAAAAAAATCTAACATTGGAAAGAGTTTCCCAGTGGCACGGTAGAAAAGGGTCAAACATATTGGCCAGCCTGTCAGACCCCTGTCAGCCTGGCCCCTATCATCACTCCCTTTGGCTTTGCATTCTTAACCACACCAAACATAAAGCATCCACATACCATCCCACTGCTAGGCTTTTGCTTGCATGGTTTCCTCTGCCCTGAACACCTTTTGCTAACAAACTCTCGTTCACCTTTCAAAGTTCAGACTCAGCAGAAATAATCAATGTCTGCTAGAGAATGCGGGTTGGAAACTGGGTTTTAAAAGATGAATAGGAGTCTCCAGGCAGACACAGAGGACTAAGCAGGGAGAGGGAACTCACCTTATGTTTACAAATTACCTCTGACTCTAGGCTGAGAGTTAAGATGTGGCCACTAGAGAAGATTGGGTATCCTGGGGTGAGGGCATCTGGCAAGTGTGACTCAGGTTCTTCCCTACTGCAGGCTAAGGTCGTGGACGTCCTCTGGTTCCTCCTGCCACTCATCCTCTTCCCAGCCTGAACGAGGGCCTAGCCCATCTCTCCTGGGCACCATCAGCCTGGACACAATGCCCAAGTTTGCCTTCTCGTCAGAGGACGAGGGAGCTGGCCCAACTGCTGTGGGCCCCAAAAGGCCCGTCTTCATTCTAGGGGAGCCTGACCCACCCCCAGCAGCCACCCCAGTGGTGCCAAAGCCCTCAAGCCTTTCTGGTAGGTGGAGTCCAGGGTGGGCAGGGTAATGTCATGGCAAGTTTCCCACAGAAAGGGCTATTTGAGATGGGTCTTGAAGGAAGAGTAGTTCTCCAGAAAGACCATTCACTTGTCTAACAAATGCCTCAGGCTTCAGCTGGGCTCCCAGGAAGCCCTGGCTAGCGGGGAGAGAGGAATTGAACTGGGGAGCTCAGAGAGTGGGAGTTAGGCGTCTGACTGGGGTGAGGGGAAGGCTTCTTGGAGGATGGAATTTGAGGAGCGGAGCTTCCCAGGAAGGGGAGTGCAAGAAGGGTGTAGGAAGAGGGAACCCTCCGAACAAAGGCCACTGTGTATGCACTGACTGGGGAGGAAGGAGCTTTGCCTCCTGAGGGCAGAGGGGCCAAGCAGTGAGATGAGGGGGGCCAGGCTGACGCCCTGACCCTGCTGACCCCCTAGCTGACACAGCTGCCCTCAGCCACGCGCGACTACGAAGTAACAGCACTGGTGCACGACACTCCACGCCGCGGGCCCTGGATGCCGGCCGGGGCCGCCGCCCAGGGGGCCCAAGAGACTCAGCCCCTGAGAAATCCAGGGCCTCCCCCAGTGGGGGCCGCGTGCCCAAGTCAGCCTCGGTGTCCGCACTGTCACTCATCATCACGGCCGGTAACGCCTACGGCCAGCCTGTCTTTGCTTGTCTGTCCACATCCATTTTAACCATGGGGCGGGGTCTGTTTTGGCCAGCAGGAGCTGGAGGGCATCCCTCCAGGTGATGTGGGGGCTGTTGTTTGGGGCTGAGCCCCAGGAGAAGGGAAGCAGCTGGGGGACTGGCATTCCCACAGTGGGCACTGCATGTGCAAAGGCCCAGAGGCAGTGGGACTGTGTTTGGGGCATTAGAGCAGTAACAGAGCAGCCAGAAGGATCAGTGTGGGGGGAGGAGAAGCTGCCTTCTGAGGGGCCCGATAAGGGAGTGACCCCTCCTGAACCTCGTCCCTACAGATGACGGCAGCGGCGGCCCCCTCATGAGCCCCCTGTCCCCACGCTCACTGTCCTCGAACCCATCGTCCCGAGACTCCTCTCCAAGCAGAGACCCTTCCCCTGTGTGTGGCAGCCTGCGGCCCCCCATTGTCATCCACAGCTCAGGCAAGAAGTACGGCTTCAGCCTGCGGGCAATCCGTGTCTACATGGGTGACAGTGACGTCTACGCTGTGCACCACGTCGTGTGGGTGAGTTGGCCTCAGGATGGGCAGGAACAGCTGGACTTGGCAGAGCCCTTTCAGAGCTGCATCTTGGAATGCAGTCTTGGAAAGTAAGCCCATGAGGTTTGGGGGCCCAGAGCAGGGACTGGTGCCACCTGGGTCTTTGTGGTCCCTTTCAGTTACAGGGAGGGGATTAGGCAAGAGGGATGGAGACCCCAAGGGGGCAGGAAGCTCCTACACAGTGGGTGTGCTGTCCTTCGTCCCTCAGCCCAGGGCCTGTCCCATCCCTGTGGGTCACTCTCTAAACAGCCCTCAGGATCTGGGATGCTAGGCAGTGTGACAGGCAGCAGCTTGCTGGGGTCCCATAGCTGACTCAGCCAGGCTGGGTGGGGTCTCTGGCTATGGGGTTTAGGCCACTAATCCCTGCCATCTACCCCAACTCCCACCCCTAGAGCGTGGAGGAGGGAAGCCCCGCCCAGGAAGCGGGCCTGCGAGCTGGGGACCTCATCACCCACATCAATGGGGAGTCGGTCCTGGGGCTGGTGCACATGGATGTCGTGGAGCTGCTGCTGAAGGTACCAGCCCCCCTCCCCCTCCCCCACCCACCCCCAGGGCTCCCAGACCCTCCAACCCCATCTGTCCACAGGGTCCCCAGATCTCCCCTCACTGCCTACCCTTTGGGCTGCTCCTGTGACCTGCCATCCCCACCCATTGACCTCAGCTCCTGATTCTGCATGGTTCTGCCCTCCAACCACACACTCCACTTTCGGTCCCAGCTCCAGGCTTTGCATGCGCCCTCCCTTCTGCTTCCTTCTTTAGCCCTCTGACATTACCTCTCAGAGCCACTCCTCCAGGAAGCCCTTCCTGCCCCTTGGGTGCCTGCTTCTGGCCCTCCCTCTGGCCAACCCTGACCCTGTGGGCTAGGGGTATCCAGGACATCTTGGCTTTTCTCACACCGAGGGTCCCCGAAGGCTGAGGTCTAGAAGAGGGGAGGTGGGCACCAGTGAGGAGGCAGGCCCCAGGTTGGATAGCTCCTAGGACCAGTGGGTGGGTGATGGCTCCCTGGATGTATGGACAGATGGTGGACATGCATCTTTGGCCCAATGCTTGGTGGGGTCATGAGGTAAAAAGTGCGTGGATAGGATCTGGGGCTTTGACAGATTAGTAGATGGGAACAGGGGTGGGTGGATGGCTTATTGGATGGGAGGCACACAGGCAACCCTTTGCCATCCCACTTGCAGAGTGGCAACAAGATCGCCCTTCGGACCACAGCCCTGGAGAACACCTCCATCAAGGTGGGCCCTGCACGGAAGAATGTGACCAAGGGCCGCATGGCGCGCAGGAGCAAGCGGAGCCGAAGGCGGGAGACGCAGGACCGGTGAGTGGTGGGCTAGCTGCCAGAGAGGCTTGAGGGAGGACCCGTGGTGTACTTAGGTGACCAGGGCTGCTAGGGGCAGGGGTGCTGAAGCATCTGGCTTTCTAACCCCTAGGCGGAAGTCCCTCTTCAAAAAGATCTCAAAACAGTCATCTGTGCTACACACCAGCCGCAGCTTCTCCTCCGGCCTCCACCACTCCCTGTCGTCTAGCGAGAGCCTCCCGGGCTCACCCACCCACAGCCTCTCTCCCAGCCCCACCACGCCCTGCCGCAGTCCGGCTCCTGATGCCCCAGCAGGTGGGTGCATCCCCAGGGCTACCCTGGGAAGAAGGGCTGCTCAGGCCTGCAGTGGTCAGCCCAGGGAGGGAGCGAGCAGAGTTGGGAGGATGGAGTGATGTGATGTATGACACAAGGCGGCCAGAAGGGCCTTTCCAGTTGCCTTGAGTCTAAGAGGCAGCCTAGGGTGGTCAGATTCAAGTTGAGGGCAGGGAAGGGTGTTCCCAGCAGAAGTAATATCGTGAGCAGAGGGGATCTAGACAGGAGAGATGTAAAAGCCAGGGAGAAGCTAGGGAGGGAGGATGGGGGACGGAGCAAGCCAAAGAGCTGGGCTTAAATTGGGGGTCAGTAGGGAGCCATCAAGAGTGTGTGAGCCAGAGAGGGCATGGAAAGATTATTCTGGATCAGGAAAGGATGATGACTTGGCCCAACCCTGAGGACCCTTAGTTTCTGTGAGAGACAGCCAGAGATAGACACCTCTAGCCTCACTGGGTTAGCAATAGGCTAGAGAGAGGAACAGGCTGGAACAATCCAGAGGACAGACAGGGAAGGCCTCCTGAAGGACAGCCACAGAGCTACTTGTCCAGGAAGCCCTCCCTGCCTCCTGGGGACCCCAACTGCTGTCTCTTCCTCTGGCCTACCCTGACCTCACGGGGCTGGGAACATCTATGCCATCTTTGCCTTCCTCAGACCAGGAGTCCTCTGGGGCTGAGGCGTAGGGGTGGGGAGTGGGCACAGGCAGAGGCAGGGCCCTTGTTGGATAACTTCTAGAACCAGTGGGTGGACAGCTCACTGGTGGATGGACGGTTGGTGGATGGGTACCTTTGGCCCAATGATTTGGTGGGTCATTAGGTGAAAAATGGGTGAATAGGAGCTAGGGCTTTGATGAATGAGTAGGAGGTCACCAGATCTAAGCCAAAGGAACAACCTGTGCAAACAAAGGGAAAACCAGGAATGATGGGTGGCCACAGGGAACAATGTGGGCTTTGGCAGTCAGTCCCAGGGCCCCTTCTCAAGGCTGGGACATTGAGGCTGGTGGCCCTGACCCTCACCTGTCACCCCACAGACACGGCGTCCCCACCCAGTGCATCCCCAAGCTCCAGCAGCCCTGCATCTCCGGCTGCCGCTGGCCACACCCGCCCCAGCTCCCTGCATGGCTTGGCCGCCAAGCTTGGACCACCTCGCCCCAAAACTGGTCGCCGCAAGTCCACCAGCAGCATCCCGCCCTCCCCACTGGCCTGCCCGCCTGTGCCTGCACCCCCACCCCGCTCACCCTCGCCTCTGCCAGGGCACCCACCTGCACCTGCCCGGTCCCCGAGGTTGCGCCGGGGCCAGTCGGCTGACAAGCTGGGTACAAGTGAGAGGCTGGACGGGGAGCTGGGGCGCCGTAGCCGTGGGCCGGACTCCGAGCTGGTGGTCATGCGGCGGCTGCATCTATCTGAGCGCCGAGACTCCTTCAAGAAGCAGGAGGCCGTGCAGGAGGTGAGCTTTGATGAGCCACCTGAGGAGGCCACTGGGTCACCCCCTTTGGTGCCTCAGATCGCTGTGGAGGGTGCTGAGGCCATGCCAGGAGCCCTTGGACCCGCTGGGAAAGACTAACCCCTCCTATGTGGCCTCTCCCTGGCCTGGAAGTCAAGCATTTTTGCAGAATGTTTTTTCCATAAATTGACACCTGGATAGAGACTGAGCCAACAGCCTATGACACCTGGAAGATGAGAAGCCATGGAGGTTCTTACCAGAAGGTGTAGACAGTGCCTCCCTCGTGTTCTGGAGCCGATCAGTCAGGGAGCCATAGGGGCAGGAGTGGGAGACTAGGGTGGCGTTGTAAATAGCAGCAAATCCCTGCAACTAATTTATTACTTTTTATAAGCGATAGCCAGAGTGAGCTGCCACTGTTGAGGCGGCTGCCCAGGCCCTGCCCCATGTACCTGGGACCCATTTGCAGACCCTGCCCCCTGGGCTGAGAAGGAAGCACTTTGGAAAATCACATGTGTTCATGTTTTCTAGTTTTTCTGTACTTTTAAAGTCTCTTTGTGTTACTTGATCCCATTCCCTGACTCCAGACCCACAGATTCAAAGGGACACAGCCAAGCTTACCTGTCCAGGCCCAGTTTGGATTGGAGGGTCCATAAACAATACCCTCCACCACAAAACGAAGTAATCCTGATGATGGACTGCATTCTGAAGGCTACTTTCCACATCATAGCCTCTATGTAGGCCAGCCTTGCTAGTGTCTGCCTCCAGTCCTATAGGCTTGGGATGTGTGGGAACTGGGGCTTTGATGTATGAATAGAAGTTCACCAGATCTAGACAGAGGGGTTGCCCTCTTCACAGGCAGACTTTGATGCCCTGGAGGCAGAGGCCTCAAAGGTGCCACCAGGGTAAATTGCCACCCTGGACAAGATTTTTTGTGTGTTTGATACACACCCGGGTGAGCCCTTACCCATGATGTGTCTGAAAACACCCCCTGGGGATTCCCTCCATGTGCCAGAGCCATGCTAGGATGAAATTCAAGTGAGAAAAATCCAACTAGGGGGCCAAGTTTGAACCTTGGCTTCACTGTTTGGCTCTGGGAACATGGCTTCCCTACTCCGTGCCTCAGTTTCCTTGTGTTTACAAAACTAATACCAGTAACTATTTATTAAGCACCTGTATGCCAAGTACTTTTACTTGTGGCTTCTCCCTCAGCCAGCTTTGAAAAGGCTAGAGGTGGTGTTGTCATCCCCGTTTTACAGACAAATACCTAAGGCCTAGCAAAGGGTGGAGACTTGTCCTGTGATTGCCTGGTAAAAGTCACACAGCCAGGCCCTGTCCTGGGCATTGTTATCAAGGGAGCTTGAATGGAGAATCTGATGTCCGATACAGCAGACTCCAGCTCTAGCTCTCTCCCCTGTAACGCTGTGTGACCCACTGGGCATCTGTGAGCCTCCATTTCCCATTTGGAGGTGGCAAGCAAGATCAGCATGCCCCACATGGTGAGGGCACTTTCCAGGCACTGCAGCCTGCTCTGCATTCCTTCTGAAGACGCCTGTCCAGCACTGCCTGGTGTTGGAGCTAGACCAAGGCTGTGCATGACTTGCTCCCACCTTCTATCCTGGAGCTGACAGTGAATAAAAGCTCACATTTACAAAGAGAAGTTCCAATGTCTGGATTTGTGAGGGGCCAAGAAAAAGGGAAGGGATCAGTCAGTGAGGTGCGGGCAGGATGAAAACAGACCCTTGGCTCAAAGTCACCTGAGATGGGTTTTGAAGGCTGCTGGAAGTACACTACTGAGATTTTTCCTGGTGCCTTCTCCGGTCCTGGCCTCCACCTGCCCTCTCTGGGAATACCCATCACAGGCTAAAAGCTTCATCTAGACACCAATCTGGGGCCCTGAAGCTGTGTTAATAAATAAATAAGCCATCTTTCTGACCTCTTAAATTTTTTTAAACATTAGAAAGTATTTTTAATTTTTTTACTTTATGTACTTCTTACACTGGTCTTTTCTTGGCCTGTGCCCTAAAATTCCCCCCACCCCCCTTCTGAACCCAGCGTAGCCTGAGCGCATTCGGTTACTTCCGGAGCGCTCCACAGGGTCGGAACCCTTTGGCCACACCCCCTGTTTCCGAGTGTCTTCGGTCATTTCCGGAAACAGTCGTCTGCATCTGGGCCAGCGCTATTACTCCCTGCCGGCCCGAGTTCAGCTGTTTCCAGATGATCTGGACTACCATAGAAACCCCGGCTTTCAACCCCGGCTCCTTCTCGGCCTTCAATTTGTTTCCTGAAAAGCTCATCTGTCTGTGGCAAGCCCATTCCCCACAACTCCGCCGCCTTCAATTCCTTGAGTTCGGGGCCGCTCACCCGCCCTCTGGAGCCGTCCGTGCTTCGGCAGTTTCCGGAAGTTAGTGGTCGCCTCTGGATCTAAGTTCCCAGGGTCTCATTTGGGACCAACCACACTTGGTTCTATCACAAAGTCTCAGGGCCCAGCCTCTGTTCTGCTAGTCCGGCTAGAACGCGCTCGGCCATTTCCGGAACCTCTCGGACATCTCAGCCCAGCCGAGCCTAGCCGAGCCTAGCCGAGCCTAGCCGAGCCTAGCCGAGCCCAGCCGAGTCTAGCCGAGCCCAGCCTCGAGATCACTCATCTGACCCCATTGCGCTCGGCTGTTTCCGGAAATGATCGACTATCTCGGGGCACCGTCCCCCTTTACCCTCCAGTCCCGCGGGAGTATATTCGGTTCTTTCCGGAAACACTCGGTTGTCCCCAGGCTCCGCCTCGGCCTCGCTTCACCCGTCGGCCCGAGTACGCTCGGCAGTTTCCGCCGGGGGCGGGCCCGACCGTTCGGGACCGCGGCAGCGGCGGCGGAGGCGGGGATCCCGCGGCTGCGGCGACGGCGTCCGTGGTATAGCCACGGGTCGGGCTCCGCTCGGCGTGACGGTGGCCTCGACCAGGTAAGTCCGGGCTGGTCCGCGTGGCAGGCGGGGCTGGGGATGCACTCAAATGCGGGGCTCCCAGGCAAAGTGTGGGGCCACGGTGGAAGCCAGAATGCGAGCCGGGCTGCATCGGGCCCCGCGGGAAAGAGGGGCCGCAGGGAGCAGGAGGCCTCGGGCTCGACCTGGCTGCGGTGCAATCTGTCCCGGACGATGGTGGCGGAACGGGGGACCCTAGGCAGAAATAAGGGGTTGGAGCCGCGGCCCTGAATTGAGGGAGGCCCTGCCAGGAGTGGGGCATCGAGCAGTAATGAGGGGCGCCCAGGCATTGTGTGGGGCATAGTGGGGTGCAAGACAGTAAAGGGTCGACTCTACTTCCGTCCCCTTGGATGGGCTAGGGATTCACGCAGGCCCGAGTGCGCGTCTGCACACGCGTGAGCACGCAGGCCCTGCGTCCAGCCACTGAGCCCCCAGCCAGGCCTGGCCCTTCCACGCAGCCTCTTGGATTCGGGGAGCGCTGGCTCCCCGGCGCGCACACCGGGGCGTGTGCAGACGTGTGCACGCCGGGATGCGGAGGCGGGCAGGCAAGCGGATTCAGGCAGTTTCCTGGACGTCCCCTCACTGGGCCTCAGTTTCCCCACCTGTGGAGTAAGGGTATGGGGGCCAGGGAGCGGGTGAGTTGCAGCGCCCTGGAATGTGGAGCTTCTGCCCTGGTTTGGACACCTCTAGTGGCTTCCCGTGGTCGGAGATAAAGCCTGAGCCTCTGCCTGGCACTCGAGGCCCAGCATGGGCTTCGGCTTCCTTAAAGCTACCTGGAACTCTTGGCAAGCATTTCTTGCTGTCAAGCCTTTGCATGTACTATTTTCCCTCTGGCCAGTGCCCACTCCCGTCCTCTGTGAGGACCCGCCCTCTAGAAAAGCACCATCCCCCCACCCCAAAACCTCTCAGAAGAACTGAACTTACAGGGCTGAGATTGGGAATGTGTCTGTGCTGAGCTGTGTCTCCCTGAGACTGGGGACTCTTAGGGGGTGATCATTGCTTTGAATCTGGCAGCCTCCACCTTAGCAGCTGCAATGACCTCCTCCCATCTACCCTTTCCTGGCTCCATGTCTACCCTGGGGCTAAGGTCTTCTTGGCCTCCTACCAACTCCTTTCATTTTTGAGTACCTACTCTTGACCCCAAGCTGAGCCCTGGACACTATTGCTCCATTCCCTCCTTCCCTGCAGAGATCAGAGATCCATTTCTTTGGACTCACCTCTAGGCCTTTGCTTGTGCTGGGGTCTCTGCCTGGACCTCCTCTCCCACACTGTTTGGCCCCTGCTGCCTCCTTCTACGCTCACCTGGCCTGATGTCTCTCCAGGGCTCCCACAGCACCCTGAGCATCCCCCATCACGCACTACCTCCCCTCGGTATGACTATCTGGCCACGTGCCTGCTGCATCCTCTCATCCGCCCTGGGCTTTGTAAAGTTGGTCAGATCTGAGTTTTTGAGTCCTGACTTCCTAACAAGGAAGTGGTCCAACAAATACCTCCCTGCTCAGAGCCTTAGTTTCCCGCAGGGGCAATGAAGAGCTTGTTTCCTGAGCATGCAGTATGCCTGAGGTAGGTTCTTGGGAGCTCTGCTCCCAACAACCTCAAAGGAGTGCTGTTATTGCACCCATTTTACAGCTGGGGAAACTGGGGCCCAGAGAGGGACAGGAACTGGCCCAAGTTTACCTAGTGAGTCCAGGGATTTGAACCTGGGATTTGGCCAGGTTCTCTCAGGTAGAGGTGACAGGAGTCCAAACTAGCTAATGCTGCCCTGCCCCTCTCCCCCTAGGTCAGCATCCCAAGCCGAGCATGGTGACAGCCTGTGCCCCCGGCCCCTCGCCTGGCGCAGCTGGAAGAGCCGCCAGCCTCGGGAGCCGATGGGCCCCCACGTGAGGGAGTGAGCGGCCAACCCTACAGATTGAGGGGGGACGCAGCGGCTGAGCGACCCGAGATCACGCTGCCGACCCCCTCCCACCAGTTGACGAATGGTGGACCAAGCAACGAGTGACCCTTGTCAGGGTCACGGAGTAATGGTGGGAAGCAAGGTGTAAGCATCCCCTGTGGTCACCTGTAACTTCTTGGTGGAAATAGAGGTCTGAGTCCCCAAGCCGACCCAGCGGACCCTCCTGGCTCCTGATCCAGCTGATGGGGCCACTGAGGCCCCAAGCAGCCACCTGACCATCAAGACCCCACCTTGCCCAGCCATGGCTGGGGCTGAGGGCTTCCAATACCGTGCTCTGTACCCATTCCGCCGGGAACGGCCAGAGGACCTGGAGCTGCTGCCAGGTGATGTCCTTGTGGTGAGCCGGGCGGCCCTACAGGCACTGGGCGTGGCTGAGGGCAGCGAGCGTTGCCCACAGAGTGTGGGCTGGATGCCTGGCCTCAACGAGCGTACACGGCAGCGCGGCGACTTCCCTGGCACCTACGTTGAGTTCCTGGGGCCTGTGGCCCTGGCCCGGCCTGGCCCTCGCCCACGTGGCCCCCGCCCACTGCCTGCCAGGCCCCGAGATGGGCCCCCTGAGCCAGGTGAGCAACAGGTAGGGACCCTGGGAGGGGTGGGGGAAGTAGGGAGTGCTCTCAGATCCTCAGTTTCCTCTTCTTTCCAGTGAGGCAATGGTGCATCTTCCAGGAGAGGAGGAATAAGGACATTTGGTCAGTCGACAAGGGTCGATTACACTGCTGTCAAAGGCTGGGTGCAACTAGGCACACGGTGGTGGACACAAGGCCTGGCCCTGCCCTCATGGGGCTGCTGGTTCAAGAAGTGACAGTGTGATTAGGTGATGACAGAGGCTATGAGGCAGGAGTCTCTCAGGAGAGCTGGGGGTGAAGGGCTCCAAGCAGCAGGCACAAAGGCCAGAAGGTGGGAATGTAATGGCAGGTTCAGGGAACAAGCAACAGGACCTCAAGGACTTCGTGGGATTCATTTCGAAGATAATGGAGAGTGTTCCGTAGGCTTCAGAGGCTCAATTTAGCTTCATTTTCTGATTTGCAGACAGATTCCCCTGAGGAACCCCCTTTGTTACCCTGATTTTCCAGTTTCCAAGATGAAGGGACCAAAAAGCCCAAAGAAGTGGGATATTCAGTCGAGGCCATGCAGCACAGAGGCATGTGAGGCCCCTACATCCCTCCCAAGGAGGCCCTTGGCCATCCCAACTTCCAAAGACTGTGCCCAGAGTGGAGAACTGAGGGTGCTGAGCATATGCTGAAATTATTGTATGCTGGGCAGGGTGTGTGGGTTCCAACCAGGGACACTGAGGCTCAGGTTGTGGGGAGGAGGCTGATGAGTGTTGAGCACACAGTGTAATCTGCTCTAACCCTCACAGCATCCTGGGGAGGCCCTGTGTACAGATGGGGAAACCAAGGCAAAATGCGGGTTAGTTGAACCACTTACTCAGAGGCAGTCACCCGTTGAAGGCCAAAGCCCTGGGAGGCACCTTGCCTCACCCAATGGCCTGTATGGTCTTGTGCCAGAGGGACACCGAGGCCCAAAGAGGATCAGGCTAGAGTCCAACAGCATGGGGCAGAATGGCGGGGTACAGAGGCATTGTGGTGCTGGCTTGGGCTTTGCAGCATCTGGTGTCTCCAGGGCCCGGGGCCTGCGTCCCGCCTCAGCCTGGAGGAGCAGGAGGCGGCCCCATCCGGGCTTCCAGCCAGAATCTGCCTCTCCCCCTGGTAACAGCCGCCTCCCTCCTCCG